CGCCAGATACGGAACCTCGGCTTGATGCATCTTTAACTGGTATTGCATGGTCGTCGAGGAGGATGATGCATTTTGCCATTCACGCGTGCATATTGACGTGTTCGGCTCAGAGCGTCCTGCTTGCGCACACTGAGCACTAGAGCTCATACATACTTATGGTCGGATGACGCACCTTACAGCCATGCCTGCCGCATTTCCTTTCGCCCGTAACCCTCGATTGAACTCCAGCAGACGGAAATTGGCGAGTACTACGCAGATCCTGGATCCAGCAGAGGACGTGAGTCACGCAAAGAGCTGAGCTGGCGGTAAGTCGACAGACAAGAGCAGGGCTGGAGCTGAAGCCGCCGCCAAGGAAGAGAAAACATGAGAGAAGAAGAAGACAGGAGAGAAGACGGGGGAGAAGACGGGGGAGAAGACGGGAGAGGCAGTGGCAGGCACAGCGTGACGTGACTGATCACAGTCGCGAACAGTCACATTCCGTTGCTCCCCGTCGCCGCGGCCGTCACGCCTCCTTCCTCCTCCTCGTTCGGTACGTCCCAGCCCAGAACGCAGAGCGAAATAGCCAAAGATAAGTGATATGGAGCAGCTAGAGCTTGTGAACGTGCAGAATATATGCACAGGCGAAGCTGCAAAGCTATAGTTGCCCTGAAGGCGGGGACTATGCGTGACCCGGCGCAGCACAGAACTTGATGCGCCTTTGCTTGGGACGCCATACTCGATCTGTGGCACTTGCCATTGATTTACAACCGTCGACATTCCCGGTGCGTGGCGGCGGTCAACGTGCATGTCAGAACTTGGGCGATTACGTCATTGCCCTGTATGGACTAATGGGGATATGTCACATGACCCCCAATTATGTTATAGTAATATGGACTAGATTACTCATGCTTACTGTACACGCTTACATACAGGTATTACCATAGGTCCCTTAGCAGTATCAGGAGTCCTGACTCTCATGTATATATACTGGCCTTATAGCACAGAATACGATAAGAGTTCAGTTGCACTTTCACAGGTTACGAGCCCTGGCCTCACGGCCACTCTACCCCCACTCAACTAGTCTCATTGCTGAAGAAGACCCCTCGGGAAACCTCAGTCCCCTTCACCCAGTTTAAAACAAGTTTATCCATGCAGTTTACAAGTAAGTCTCATTGCGTGCTAGTGGCAGACGAAGCGCTCACGCGTTCATTCCTGCATAAATTCTAGTGCCAAAGGATTTGCCTGCTTGTCCCCCTCACTCCGTTTTCCAGTGGTACAAGCACTCCGCCGGCTACGCGCCTGCCTCCGGCAACGCCAACAGCTCTGTCGAGACCGTTCCGTACAGTAAACGCTGCGGCAAAGAACTACACCCACCGACACCAGCGCTCACCCTCCCGTTCCCTCCAAACTCACATGAGGGAAGGCGCCTACGTCGTGAACAGTTCTGCAAGCGCTACGCGACTGACAAGGCTGACTTTGAGCAGCGTCTAGCTGCACACAAAATTCAACAGGCGCACGAACGGATCCTCGCCAGATCGTCAAAGCCGACACTCGAGCAGCATTTCGCTGCCATCCCACCGGTAACACACACGCCAATCGCCCCAAAGCCAATATTCATTGACTTCGACAAGCACACTCCCATTGACCTCGTCCGCATCTTCACACTGAAGTTCAACAGCACGCTTAAATGCCTCGATGTCTTCAAGACTCTCGAGCTCGACGATCTCAACTTCGACAGAGTCCGCAATCTCTGCCAACTCATCGAGCAGCTCACATGCATCAAGCGCTGCCTAGCGGACATCTGCAACGTTGTCAAGTATGAGGGGTGGCATAAGTGGGAATTAGGGTGCAGAGAAATAGGGGATATCTCGTTCAAAGGGCTACACAAGAACAAAGCCCAGATTGTACAAGCGCTCAGCACAGTTTACGTGAACGGATATTTTGATGCAGTTAGGTTTTACGAGAACAAGTAGATACTTTGTATACAACGCTATTGTAACAATCAGAGAAAAGTTCTACTCAGAAACCTGACTACTGTGTGTTTATTCCTAAGCAACAACAATTATCGTAGTTTAACTGGTTTCTTTGTCCAATTCCACCTCTATCCACCTCTCGGCTAAATTGGCTTAGCTGAGATAAGTGGTTCGCTCAACAGCGTTCATTATACTAACCTCTCAGGAGACAAATACAGTAACTGAAACCATAGAGACAAAACAGGAAATCGTCGCAGAATTCAGACAGCGACTGAATATCCAAGAAGACGACACACCTTGGGAATTGTTAACACAGTACAAACAAACCCTCGAGCTGTTTTTTACCCCACAGTATTTCAACTACGTAGATGACACACATGGTCCACCATCATACAACACGTCGGCAGAGTTAACTAACCTTGACAACGACATCATCAATATCTTCTTTCCAACAACTTGCGATACATATTCGGAGCCATACGCCTGTTATCTCAAACAGGAAGATATTGAGGTTGATCTATACTACAGACCAATCAATCAGGTCTACAATCTCGAATTCTTGGAAGACGATTGGAAATCACTTTGAGTGACACGAGCCAAAACATATGAGCTCAATCTCAGTGAATTCTTTTACGAAGTCACATTAATGCAGACAGAATATGAAACACTCTATGCATACACTCGCCTCCTCTTTGTACACGATAACAATTTCATCCTCTTCTGACCCTACCAAGCTCGCCACCTCTACCATCCTGCAATTCGACGGCACCAACTATAAAAAATGGTCTGATGCGATCCAAGCCTTCCTACATTACCAGGGTGTCTGGTACTTAATCCAGGGATACGGCTCCACAGTGACCATACCTGTTCCTGGTCTTGCCAGACCAACACCTGTGACAGGTACACCTACGGCAACGGAAATTGCAGTGCAAGCTGCATGGGATGAGAAGAATGACAAGGCACTAGGTATCATTCAGCTCTATGTCGCGCAAAACCTTTGTCATCTCGTCGATGACAAGTTCTCGGCCCTAAACCCATGGACAGCAGTCAAAGCTGGCTACGAGAAACCCGGAGTGGTAGGCACATTCATCGCCTTCCAAGGGCTGTTCAATGCACAGCTATCTGACAGCTCCGCACTCGGCCCGCAACTCGACGCGCTCACAGAGCAGTCCAACCAGGTTAACGCGGCAGGAATCGAGGTAAAACCTCAACTGCTTGCTCTGCTTATGATCAACGCTCTTCCCAAGCCGTACCAGACCATCGCTGGTACCATTCTCACTACGCAGACTGATGTTATGCTGCTCACAGCAGCTCTCATTAAGCCCAAGATTGTTGAGGAGGAACAGCGCCGCGTCGCAGATCACACTCAGATTGTGCGCGTTTTGAAGGTGCCTCTCCTCGAGAAGAAATGTGAGAAATGCGGTCAAAATAATCACACAGCGGAGCAGCACTGGGACACAAAGCCGGCGAATTCTGGCTCAAGTTCTGGTAATAGCAACACGCAGCAGCAGCAGCAGGGTGAAAAGCACAAGAAGGGAAAGGGAAAGGGCAAAGCAAAGGACAATAACTCAGCAGCTACTACCTTGCAGACCATAAATACTATTAGACTTGTCAATGTACCACTAGTAGCAAAGATCGAGGAGGAATCTATCTCTGTTTCTCTTTATGCTACGGGTGTCAAGTCTAAATGGATGGTCAACAGTGGTTGCATGACACATGTCACACTGTTCAAAACTGACTTTATTCAGTATCATGAATTCCCTAAGCCAGATCATGCACACACGGCTGGCAAAGGTCAGACTATCGAAATAAAAGGTCACGGTGAAATCGCTCTGCAACATCAGCTCACAGATGGCCAAATTCAGCATATCCGGTTAGAAACCGTATTATACATACCAGAAGTGGCAGGACAGTTCTTTGTGCCCAGAATGCCTCTCAATAATGGTCACCGTATTGAGATGGATGGCAAGAAGTTTAAATTACTCCACGGGTCAGACCCAACACAGCGGACAGTTTTAATGGAAGGCAAACATGAAAAGTTGTCAGATTTATATTGGCTAGAAGCTGAAGTCCTCACCAGGACCAGCGAGATTAAGCCAGGAACATTAATGTCAGTTAAATTCGACGATCCATATACATTGTGGCACCGTCGCTTTCGGACAAGCCAGTAAGAAGTCAGTAATACAACTTCCTGGCAATGTCAAAGGCGTCCCGGAAAAAATCTCAGCACCAACCAGGGATACTCCCTGTGATGGATGCGAATTCAGGAAGTCTTGTCGCGACGCATTTCCTGCATCTGACAGTCGTGCGGATTATCCCCTCGACCTCATTCACATGGATCTTGTCAAATATCCGTCGTTATCTCTTGACGGGTACAAGTTTGCCCTAACCACTCTCGACGACTATTTCTCATTTGGTTTAGTCTAGTATCTAAAATGGAAGTCAGATGCCTTCTCTGCCTTTAAGCAATTTGTCGCTTGGGCAGAAACACAGGCCGAGCGAAAGCTCAAGGCTATACATTCGGACCATGGGAGGGGGAGTTTTTAGGCCGCGAATTTGACAATTTCCTAGCAGAACGCGGAATAGAGCGTCAACTCTCAGTGGCGCAAATACCACAGCAGAACAGCAGAGCAGAACGCTGGCAACAGACCATTCAGAATAAGGCAGAAGCTATGTGACATCATGCTGGCATGACGTCTGGATTCTGGAAGCTAGCATCCGAGACAGCAGTACATATTTACAATCGACAACCTCTGCGCCATCACCAATGAAAGCCACCAATCACTAAGTGGAATGGCACTGTTCTGGACATATCGTACTTTCGAGTATGGGGCTGCAAAGCCTATGTCCACACACATAAGAATGCGAGAGTCAATAAACTGCAGCCAAAAGCTAAAGTAATGATCTTCGTCAGGTACGAAATTGGTACAAAGGGTTACTGATTCTGGGATCCAACTGCCTGGACCATCATTGTGTCACGCGACATCACCTTCGATGAGTCTTCCTTCTCCAAGCGGGACGAAAGGCCTCGTAAGCCTGGAACGTCTCAAGATCCAATTCCACCTGTCCAACCCAACCAGCTGAACTCGGATCTAACAAGTCCGGATGACTTCACACCTGATGATCAATTCCCAGACAATGCACATCCACAATCGCAGCAAGACAAACTGCAACAACAGGATGATGACGAAGTCAATGACAATCCAGCTGATTGTTACGAACGATATCGAAGCCCAACACCAGAACCATATTTCATTCCTGGTCCACCTCCTGATGCACCTCTACCTCAGAGAGAACAATATCATCCTTGTCAGAGCAGACCACCTGGTCCATCTCATCAGGCAGCACCACCTGCACCTGATATTTGGCAACAATGGAATCTCGAATCACAACCTGTGCCACATCCGGCCAGACCACAGCACAAGAATGCAGGCCAACGCCGTGTTCCCAACAACAGCTATGGAGACGTCCTGCCCACAAAAGCATGGCATCAACAGGAACAAGACATACAACGTGATCAATGAGAAGAACGAGAAGTATGTGAATAATGTGAATACTCTCCAATGGACATCAATGATGAACTCCGGTGGAACATCTTCCAATGGATATGTCGTGCTCACAAGCCTGACCCCACTACGTACCGCGAGGCAATGTCTCGCTCAGATGTGAAACAGTGGGAGATCGCGATGAAAGAGAAACTTAAGTCTCAGGTGGAGAATTCTACATGGATTCTGGTCAATAGACCGAACAACCAGAGAATTGTAAAGTGTAAATGGGTTTATGTGATCAAACCTGACGGCCACTATAAGGCACGTCTCATGGCCAAAGAATTCACACAGATAGAGGGGATAGATTTTCAGGAGACCTTCTCTCCCGTCGCACGTTATGAGGCTATACGCTTCTTACTCGCACATGCCGCACTCAAAGATTGGGAAATTGAGGCAATGGATATCAAAACGGCCTTCCTGTATGGCGAGCTCGACGAGGAGATTTATATGGAACAACCAGAAGGCTTTGTGAAGAAAGGACAGGAAAAAATGGTGTGTCAATTAAAGAAGGCTATATATAGCTTACACCAAGCGTCACGCAGCTGCAACAAAAAGCTACACACTATGCTACTCGAGAATGGATTCAAACGCACGCTCTCAGATGCTGGCGTTTATGTTTATCATCACAACAAAGTCAAAGTTTACCTTATAGTTTACATCGACGATCTTCTACCAATGGGTCCAAGTTTACTGGAGATCCAATGAGTAAAGAAAGTTCTTGCAGAGAAATTCCAAATGCGAGATCTTGGAGCCGCTAGTACATTCCTTGGAATGCGGATCACTCATGATAGAAATAAAAAGTGTCTGGAAATCGACCAACAGTTGTATACCGAAGAAATCCTATCCCAGTTCCAGATGCACAACTCAAAACCTTGCTGTACACCGCTGCCCGAAAGCATACATCTCAAGAAAGCTGTGAAAACATATACCGCTACCGATGCACTCTGCCATCACTATCAGTCCATGATTGGTAGTCTCATCTATTTGATGATTGGTTCACAACCTGACATCGCCTGAAGAGTCACACGACTCTCACAGTACATGCAGAACCCTACGTCACAGCACGTGGAAGCCGCGAAGCACATCTTCCAGTATCTCTGTCATACCACCGAGTATCGTATTCAGTACTCTGGCTCAAATCAGTCCGGTTTGATAGGGTATTCTGATGCAGACTGGGGCAAAAATCGGGATAACTGGCGATCAACAACTGGTTTTGTTTTCTTGATGGCTGATGGAGCAGTCACATGGGCATCTCGGATGCAGAAGATGGTGGCAAGATTCTCGACGGAAGCTGAATACATGGCACTCTTAGAGGCATGCTCTGAGTTAGCCTGGCTAACGTCACTCCAAAATGAGTTAGGTTACTTTCCTACTGCACCACCACCTCTGGTAGCAGACAACCAAGGAGGAATCTTTCTCGCAGTCAATCCCGCTCACGACCGAAGGCTCAAG